GAGAGAGTGTGAGTGAGTGAGTGTGAGAGAGTGTGAGTGAGTGAGTGAGTGAATGAGTGAGAGAGTGAGTGAGAGAGTGTGAGAGAGAGAGTGTGAGAGAGAGAGTGAGTGAGTGAGTGTGAGAGAGTGTGAGTGAGTGAGTGTGAGAGAGAGTGTGAGTGAGTGTGAGAGAGTGAGAGAGTGAGAGAGAGTGTGAGTGAGTGAGAGTGTGAGTGAGTGAGAGTGAGTGAGTGTGAGAGTGTGAGTGAGTGAGAGTGAGTGAGAGTGTGAGAGTGTGAGCGAGTGAGAGTGTGAGAGAGTGAGTGAGTGAGAGTGAGTGTGAGAGAGTGAGTGAGTGAGTGAGTGAGAGTGTGAGAGAGTGAGTGAGTGAGTGAGAGAGTGAAATGTAATTGTTAGTATTATTAAATCTTCCTTTTTTTCCTTCTAATTTGTTGCTTTATTTCTCAGATGACTAGAGACACTCTGGTGAAATGGAGGAACAAGAGAGGGATGAGTGAGGAGGTGAAACAACACTCAGCTCCCATTTAGAGCAGGTTCCAAATGGTTCACTTCCTCAGACTCTCTTAACTTCAAAATGATCAATTCACCTTATTGATGCCTTTCTGCCGCAGCTGGCTTAGCTTTGGGATTCTCATTCCCAAAAAGATAAATGCAGACTCTGCACTGGGTCCTGGATAACATTCTAACCCAGATGAAGAGCCTCGTATGAGTGGTGGTCAAAAGAAAGAGAGAACAGGTGAGCTCGACCCAATACAGCGAAAGTTATCTTTGGTTTGGATTTACTTTCTCCAGGGATCGGTATGTACATATTGGCGCTGGGCAACAATTACAATTTTTCGCAATGTAAATTATTATTCTAAAACGGTGCTGAAATGGTACTTAAACTATTTTTCAAAACAGAAGACGTATTGGTGTGGCTGTAGCCTTAGAGTCCTGGGCCTGATCATATCTGTGGCCAGGTTCTCAAAACCTGCACTGAGCAGCTATGTACCATCTTTTATTATATTTTTATGCAACAATGGGTCCCCAAGTTATAGCAACATTCAACAATTGTCCCAGTTGCTAAACCTAACCCCCTGCAGCATTAAAGGATCTCAGGCTAGTAGTAAATGGACTGTACTTGTAGAGCACATTTCTAGTCTTCGACCACTCAAAGCGCTTTTACACTACACGTCATTATTCACCCATTCACACCCATCCATACACTGATGGCAGGCTACCTGTAGTGTTGACATCTTTATTATGAAGACACTCCGATCCTGGAATTGTGAAAAATAATTTCAAGTGGTAAAGCGGTGCTCTCACACTCAGTAAGGATGTAAGGGACAGATGTGTCCTGGTTAACTTGTTCAGAGGATTCCGTAAACAATTAACTGGAGATAAGTTGGCGCTTTGGTAAACCGGTATTTTTGGACCTAACAGGGTCTTGAACTAGTGTCCACAAGTGTTACCAATGTTGGAAAAAATGGAGGCTTCACGTGCTATATACAGTGGGTACGGAAAGTATTCAGACCCCTTTAAATTTTTCACTTTGCTTCATTGCAGCCATTTGCTAAAATCAAAAAAGTTAATTTTATTTCTCATTAATGTACACTCAGCACCCCATCTTGACAGAAA